TGGACACGTCCTCCTCGGGCCATGGCCATGTCTTCTAAGTGTAGGGTTATAGGGCTATTCTACACCTATGGAGCTATATGGCTTTAGGGTGATAGGGCTGTGCGGATGTATCAACGGGGCATGTGTCCGCATTATATCTAGACGCTTCGCGTATCCCCACCAGCCCATCCAGAAACGACGCCCAGGAAAATTGACGGAAGAAGGGAAGCAGAGACGCACATAGTAGTGAAACAGAGCAGGCAACAACGGTGAATTGGGATATAGTTGTGGCGAAGGTTGAACGTGTTATTGATGGTGTTATTGATCCTGATGGTATTGCTGCCGCTGTTGCTGCTGATAGCGCTGCTGACGTTGCTGATGGCGGCGATGGTTCTCGGATGATGCGCAGGCGGATAAGGGGGGGGGGGGGAGAAGGAGAAGGAGGAGAAGAAGGAGGAGGGGGAAACATGACGAACATACATAAGATCATCTTAGGACGTATATTCTTGGGAGTTGTGTTGGAAACCTCGTGGAGCGTCTGACTGGGGGTATCACGGATAGCTCGGGGATCGTCGTGAAGCATCTTCGGGGTCTCTTGGAGATCTCATGAATGCATTTCGGAGCCCCCTTGGGATATCGCTTGGGCGGTTTTTGGAGGCCGCGTGGGACGTCGTCGTGGGGGTCCCGCGGCGGTCCTGAGGGATTCGCGGGCGTCTTGGGTGCGTCGGGGAGGCATCGCGGGGCCGCCCGGGGCCCTCGCGGGGGTCTCTTGGGGGCATCGTGGGGCCATCTTCTTGGAGGACATCGATCAAAAAAGTGGGGGCCCTAATAAGTGCGGCCCCCCCTCCTCGGCGGGCGCTCCTAACATTGCATCATGAACCCATATTTGGGCGCTATTGGAGGGCTCTTGGGCACTATTATTGAGCCCATACTGCTAGGGCTATAATGGGCCCATCTTGGGGCCAGCTTGGGCCATCGCGGAGCCATCTTGAGGCGACGGATGGCCATCGGAAGCGAAACGAAAACGAGAAGGCACATAATAATATCAGTGGTTTGCCTTCGGTGTTTGAAGAAGTGCGGCTTCTTGGGGGCATCATTCGTCTTGGGAAGTGGGTTGGCGTATGAGTGGAACCATCGCGGGCCGACATTGGGGCCTATTGGAGCATATTCGGATGCATAGTTAGGAATATTGTTATTCGGATATAATAATATTGAGCCATCTTGTAGCCAATCGCGGGCTGTCCGAGGCGATATTGGAGCTGTCGCGGGCCTGCTTGGGCGCCCCAACACGTCGCGAATTCCCCCGTCCAGGTCCAGGGGAGGGGGTAGGGAGAGGAGCAAACCCTTCCCCGAAGAAGGGGAAGAAGGAGTTGGAAGAGGAAACTCTACAATAAACCACCTACGCCCACAAGGAGGGCTGGTGGGAGTTGTTACCCCCGACGTTCTGGGGTACACTAGAAGATTATACGACCCAAATTATTGTTTCCAGGGGCTGGGGCCGTTTTTTGCATATCCAAGCGTCCTCAAGGAGCCATCGCGGGGCCAGCTTGGGCCATCTATCTCGGGGCCATCGCGGGGCCACCCCACCCGCCGCCCACCCGCCACACACACGCCGACTACTACTACTACTACTACTACCACCACCCACCCACCACCCGCGACGATCCACCTACCCACCACCCACCCACCACCCACCCACCACCCACCACCAACCACCCGAATATGCTTGGAACTCAAAACGAGGACCTCGGACATCTCAGCCAGATACCGACATCATCGGCGGGGCACGTTCGCCAAATCGTTCAACTTCCGCTTGGGCCCCTTCTTCAGCGCAAGCACTGATTGGGGAGGGTCGGCTTTTTTCCTGTCGAAGAAGTGTGAAACAAAAAGCTGGACAGGGAGGCCACCACGGAAGGTTCGGGTTGTTTTTTCGACCATGTCCCTTCGTGACAGCCTGCTCCCGCGCAGCGACTGCCCGCAGCATCAGTCAGCGCGGCGAGGCTGAGCGCGGCGCCCACCGCCGCGCCCCTGAACTTGATGCGACAAGATTAGGATGTATTCGTCCAGGGCGGCAGGGGCGCTGGATGGCGCATTCGTCCAGGGCGGCAGGGCGGCAGGGGCAGCACAGAAGGAAGGGTGATGATGATGATGATGATGATGAGTTCATGCATCGCCAACAACATGACCCAATTTGTTCCCTACCTCCTAGGCTCTGCCTAGAAGATAAAGGGTTCTCACTCGCTGGGCTTACCCAGTCCCCGCCTTGCGGTTCCCCCAGTAGTAGTTGCACCCACGTATTCCAGCGTTGCGTATATCATATTGGCCCAGCTTAATATAGCTTAGCTTAACGTAGTTTCATCGTCTTAGCGTCGCGTAGCTGTAGCTTAGCTTACCTTAGCTTTGCATAACATAACCCAGCATAACATAGCATAGCGCAGCATAGCATACCATAGCATAGCACAGCGCAGCATAGCACAGCATAGTAGCATAGCATAGCGCAGCATAGCATAGCATATCATAGCCTAGCATAACAGAGCACAGCCTAGCGTAGCATAGCATCATAGCGCAGCACAGCGCAGCATAGCATAGCACAACACAGCACCCACTACTTGTTTGCTGCTGCTAGTAGAGGCTCCAACTCACTCCTCCTAGGTAGGGTCGCACTGGGATAATGTCAGAACAAGTCAGCGCCTTCCGAACACCAACAGGGAGGGAAAGGGAGGAGGATGACGGGGGGGAGAAGGGGGAGGAAGAAGAGAGAAACGGCTCGCCGGGCTCATTCGGCTGCCTTCAGAACGAAGGAGGAGGAGGAGGAGGAGGAGGGGGAGGGCGAGCACAGCTGGCTGACCAAAATCATTTTTTTTCAATTTGTTTTGGGGGGGGTGGCGAGAGCCGCGCGCAAAAAAGATAGCGCTCTCGGCAGCGGTGGACGCCCACCGCCGGCGAGGGGGAAATTAGTTCTGATTCCGCAGATGGCGAGAGCACATCTTGATTTCACACCCTCCCTCGGCAGCTGCGGTTTTCAAAAAAATTGATCCCTCGGCAGCGGTGGACGTCCACCACCGGCGAGAGCTCAATGATTTTTGCAACGACATCTCGGCAGAGCCGACCTCAGATTTTGTCAGGATCAGGGCTTCCGAAAAAGAAAATTGAAACGGGGCGGAGGGCGATGAAAATAGGGAAGCCACGCTGCAAGGTTGCAGGGCCAATCGATGGGGCATGGCTTCGGACCCCGCCGCCCCCCCCCGTGGAAAGGATCGATGGGCCCCAAGTGGGGCGATGTCATGATGGTGATGATGATGATGATGATGATGATGATGATGATGATGATGAACCATCGTTGCCCCGCCCCAGCATGGTGGCCCAGTTGTCTTCGTAATAACATGTTGTTAGAAGAAACTTAGAATCGGGGGAGGGGGGGGTTATTATGATGGGGAGGAGGAGGAGGCGGAGGATAAGGAGGAGAAGAAGAAGAAGGAGGGTCAGGTATCATCATCACAACAACCCTGCACGTTGCTGCGCCACGGCATATCATAGCAGCGCAATCCTGAGAACAGCAGCGCTGAGCACCGTGCTAATCATCGCACCAGCCTCCTGGGCGTAGGTGTTTGTTTGGGGAGTTGCTTTTTCCAACCTCATTCTTCCCCGTCGGGGGGGTTATTTTACCCCTCCCCCTACATCTGCCCCTCCTGGACCTGGATGACGGGTTTTGCGACGCGTTGGAGTGTCCAAAAAAAGGGCCCAAGACGGCTCCAAGAGCGCCTTGCAGAGCCCAAGATGAGCTACAAGATGGCCCAAGCTGCTGCTAGCATACTATTATTCCTCATCATCATGATGCATCCGAAGATGCCCCAAGCGGCACCAAGGCCGCCCCAAGAAGAAGACGGCTCCAAGAGGCCAAAGAGCTTCACAAGGAGGCGCCCAAGAAGAAGCCAACATCTTTCAAACACCTTAGAAGGGAAACCACTGATGTGCGCCGTCTCGTCTGTTCGTTTCCGATGGCCATCCGAGGCCTCCAGATGGTTCCACGCGGGCCCAAGAAGAGGGCCCCGATGGGGCGCCCAAGAAAAGAGCCCCAGGACGACGGCCGCAAGAGCGGCCAACAAGAGCGCTCCAGGAGCGCCCCAAGAAGAGGGGTCTAGGATCTAGGACGCGAGTTTAGGAACGCCCGAGGGGGGGCCGCGACAATAATTCAGGAACCACCCTTTTTTTGATCGCTGTCACACGAGAAGATGGCCCCACGAGGCGCCCAGGAGGCCCCCAGAAGAAGAGGCCACAAGATGGCGCCGAGATAGCCCCAGATGGCCCCTACTAATAATAAGGGCCCCCCAATATACCCCTAAGAGGACCCCGACAACCGGCCCCAAGAGGCCCCCCTGCCTGGGGCACCCAAGGCGCCCAAGAGTCCCTCAGGACCGCGAAAAGACCCCAAGACGTCCCAAGAGGCCACCAACAAAGCGCCCAAGAGATATCACAAGGGGCTCCGAGAGGCATTCAGGAGACCTCCAAGAGACCCCGAAAAAGCTTCAAGGTGATCCCCGAGGCGCCCAAGAGCTCCCCCAGACGCTCCAGGAGGTGTCCAAAACAACTCCCAAGAAACATCATAAGAGGATCTTTTGCTCGTCATGTTCCTTCCTCCTTCTTACCATTGGGTCTGTTCTCCTCCTCCTCCTCCTCCCCCTCCCCCCCATTATTATGAGTATTACCCGCCTACGCATCATCCGAGAACCAGCAGCAACAGCACTGGCAGCAGCAACAGCAGCAGCAGCAGCAGCAGCACCAGCAGGTGCAAGAAGAGCACCAGCAGTAACACTTGCAACCTTCGCCGCAAAAGATCTCCCAATTCACCGGAGTTGCCCGCTCTGGTTTATGTGCGTCTCTTCTTCCCTTCTTCCGTCAGCGTTCCTGGGCATCGTTTCTGGATTGGTTGGTGAGGATGATACGCGAAGCGTCTAATTTTTCACAGCAGCGAAGCAGCATCACCTGCTGCAGCCTCGAATCATCAATTAACGGGGCCCCTCAACGTCGCAGCGAAGAAACCCATCGCCCTGAACATCTGAATCAAGATCCGCGACGTCGTCTTCACGTCCATCGAATTACCGACCATCATTCTCATCTGGCGATCTGACACGCGCTCCGGCCTGACGAGGCGCGCTGTGCCCCGCTCGATGCCCTGGAGCTTCATCATCTCGTTCAAATTGAGATACCTACTGCGGGAAAACAACCAGTAAGAATTCCCTCCTGCGTGTTGGCGGGTTAGGCATGGGCACACGTTCTTCATCAGGTTCACCCTCCGAGTGAGGCCCATCATGAGGTCGCCAACGTAGTCTCCTCTCTTCAACTTGCTCGCTGCGTTCGGGCCGCCGATCTTCTCCAGGCACTTCGTGTAGTTGGCGAGGGCGGTCCTGGATTCCGGGAGGGCGGTGCCTTTGTTGTCGGCATCGAGGTACTTGTCCAGGGGATCCACGGCGAGGGCGTCGGCGGGCCACTTGAAGCAGCCGAATTGCTCCTCCAGCGATTTCCATATGCCGACTATGAAAAGCCGGCGCCGGGAGTGGGGAAGGCCAGATGTAGTCTGGGAGTCTAGAACCTTGTAGCACAAGCTGTAGCCCTTGGACCCTTTGCCCTTGATCTCCTTGAGGGCGGACAAGATCTTGTGGAATGTGTGCGCGTGGCTGGCGAGCAGCCCTTCGACGTTCTCTAATAAAAACCCTTTGGGCAGCAGCGCCTTGATCCCAGCCACCACGTACTCGGCAATGGAACGATGATCGTCTGCACCAAGACCATAGCCTTCCATCGAGAAGGGCTGGCACGGGAAACCTGCCGTCAACAAGAAGAGCTGGTCATCAGCGGTGAAGGCCTTAGCGAGCTGCTGCATGTTGATGCCCTTGATGTCGCCGAAGACGTTGCCGCGGCGAAGGCCACGGTGGTTCTTCTCGAGAACCAGGCGGCATAATCCGTCAACATCACATGCGAATGCGTTCTCGAACTGCGGCGCGATCCTCAAGGACTCCAGCGCCATACATGGGGCGTGGTAGCCCGAGCAGAAACTCCCGACCAGATACTTGCCATTGCTGCCCAACGCAACCTGAATGAAGGGAGGCGCGGCACAACAACGGGGCGCGGCTGCAAAAACAACCCAGTCATCTCAACAATCGTTTACGTGGGCGGTGCCGAAATGGCGGAGGCGGAGGAGGCACTCGGATGTCACTACAAAGGGGGCGCGCAGGTAACATCTTTTCGGGGCGTGAGTCTGGGCATTGTTTGCACGCCCTTCTATCATTCCCCCTTCTCTTCCTCCTTGCACTTTGGCACGCGCCCGCAATGATTCAAATGAAGAGACGTTTGAAATTCTCAACGCTTCGCGTATCCCCACCAGCCCATCCAGAAACGATCAGCAGGGGGGCCGGTGAATCAGGGGCGGCAGAACGCATGCAGTCGCGCAGCCGTCTTCGAGAACACAATCATCACACATAGCTTCCCGCATTGAAGTTTAAGATGGCAACCGGTGCAAATTACGATGGTGCTTCGATGAGAGGTGAGGGGTATTATTTCGATGACTCGCAATGGTTGTTGCACTGATTCCCTACCTAGGCTCTGCCTAGACGGGTTCTTGCCCTGTGTGCTCAAGGGGCCGGGCAGTGCTCCCCGCCCTGGGCGCTTCCCCCAGGGCCCGCCCCGCGGTTCCCCCAGTTGCGCCCCCTGGGCTTACCCAGCTTAGCTTAGCTAAGCTTAGCTTAGTTAAGATTAGCTTAGCTTGGCTAAGATTAGCTTAACTTCGCTGAGCTTATCTCATTTTAGCTTAGCTTAGCTTTGCCTAGCCTAGCCTAGTTTAGCTCAGCTTAGCATAGCTTGGCGTACCTTGACGTATCTCACCTTAGCTTAGCTTAGCTTAGCCTCGCTTAACTTAGCATAGCTTAGCTTACCTTAGCGTAGCGCAGCATAGCGCAGTTGCTAATAAGCATTAGCACAGCATAGCATAGCATAGCATTGCCACGTATATCATAGCATAGCATTGCATAGCATAGCGCATCATAACATAACATAGCGCAGCATATCATATCATACCATAGCATAGCAGTGGTTAGCATAGCACAGCGCAGCATATCATGACATAATACAGCACATCATAGCATATGATAGCGCAACATGGCATAGTAGTATAGCATAGCATCGCATGGCATAGCATAACGCAGTATATCATAGCAAAAACCAACAGCAATGCGAACTTGTAGATGTACATGTAGATGTAAGTGTAGATGTGGTTGTGGATGTAGGTGTAGATGTAGATGTGGATGTAGATGTGGATGTAGGTGTATATGTAGGTGTTCATGTAGATGTAGATGCGAGTTTCGCTGTTGATGTTGGTGTAGCTGTAGATTCAGGTGTATATGTAAATGAAGCTGTCGGTGTAGATGTAGATGCTGCTTTCCTAAATGCTCCAACTCCTAGGTAGGGTCACACTGGGATAATTTGAATATTAAACTCGCGTGTGTTCCGAAACTTGGAGACATCTTGGGGCCCTCTTGGGATTCTCTTGGGCCCCTCTTGGGGCATCCTGGGGCTCCTTCTTGGGGCTCTCATGAGGTCCTCTTAGGGCCTTTGTGGGGCGCTCTTGGGGTCCCATTGGGGCATTATTGGAGCCCTCTTGGGGCTCTTTTGGAAGGTCGCGGGGCCATCTTGGGGCTCTTTGGGGGAGTTCTGGGAGGCCTCGCGGGGCCGTCTTGGTCCTCATGGCTACAAAAGAAGAACAGGGGGGGGCGGGCAATTCTTGCCCACCCCCTCCCCTCCCCATTCGGAAGCTCAAGCATGCAGTCTTGGGACCATCTTTTTGGCCCGTTCTCGGAGCGCTCTTGCTTGGGCGCTCCTCTTGGGGCCGTCTTGGGGATCTCTTGGGCCCCTCGCGGGGCTGCATTGTGCCATCTTGGGGCCATCTTCTCGAGGCCTCAAGAGCCCGTCGGATGCGAAAAAGCGATAAGCCAAAACACATAGATGTCCCTTCGGTATTTGAAAGATGTTGGCTTCTTCTTCTTCTTAGGGGGGTCGTTGGAGGCCTCGGAGGGCACTTGAAACCGTCTTGGGGCCGTCTTGAGGCCTCTTGGACGCGTGTCTGAAGCTATATTGACCCGTCTACCGCTATCTTGGGCCATCGTGGAGGCCATATTGCGCTCTCGGAGGCCCTCTTGGAGCCATCTTGGGCCATCTTGGACGCTGCTATGGGCCCGCCTCCCCCCCCCCCCCGTCCAAGCGCAGGGGGGGGGGCAAACCTCCCGAGCAGGGAAAGGCAGGAGGTTGGAAAGGGAAGCGCCCTAGTAGACCACCCGCGCCCAGAGGGCTGGTGTGATATCAGCACCCTCCTCCTCCTCATCCTCCTCCTCCTCCTCATCCCTTCCCTCTCCCCGCGACCTCCCCGGCCGCCCTGATCATCTTCCAGCCCCGCGACCTTCCCAGCTCTCCTCCTCCCCCCCCCTCCTCGCCATCCCCCCTCATCATCATCCTCATCCTTCTTATCTTTCTCCTTCTCCTGCCCATCATCTTCCTCCTGCCCGGCGGGCCCCCCCTGACTTTGGACCCCAAGTTGGGCGGCGCGATTGGAGAGGAGGCGGTTCGACCAGCCCGCGGCCTGGCCGACAGCTCCGCACACAGCGATGGGGTCCGGGACCGGGATTGGATGGCGCCGACTCGTTGTTGGCGTCGAGGCTGGTCGCTTTTTGGTGATCAATCTGGCTGCGGCGGCGGGCTTCTTATTCGTCATCAGCATCGCCCGCGGCCGGCCGTTGGGGCGTCGTCGTCGGGGCTCCTCAACAGCATCGGAACCCCAATCTGCGCCCATCACCGGTTGTTGTTGCTGGGGGCAGCCAGCAGCAGTAGTAGTAGTAGTAGTTGGCGCCCCGCGACAAAAAAAAACCTTGGACGGGCTAGGAAATGGCGCGGGCGGGGGCGAGGATGATGATGGGGAGAAGGCGACCCTCATTGTAACAGTTGGTGATAGGGCCCCTTCAGCGCAAGCACTGGCTGGGATACCACGCGGCGTTGAGGCCCCATCGGCGCAAGAGGAAGGGCCCCCTCAGCTCAAACGTTGATTGGACTCCATGCAGTCTTCTTTTCTCCTCAGCATGCAGCAAGCGGGCTCTGTGTTTTTGTGTGTATGTAGCGTTAGATGCACGTGTGGGATTTGTCCCTGGCCCTGGGAATGCATAGCGCTATTCAAGATGATGAAGAACTCGTCCGCCGGGGCCCCGATCTCCCCCCAGTCCGCTCCGAGAGGGCCTCAACAAGAGGGCTCCAAGGGGGCTCCAAGACGTTCTGCTGGGATGTGATGCGCGACGTTTGTTGCTGCAACGTGCTGTTATCTCTGCGTGGTACGCGTTGTTGTTGGCGGTGCGTGCTATGCGATTTTTGTTGGCGGTGTGTTATGATGTGTGGTTCGTGATGCGCCAGTTCCGTGAGCACGTTGTTGTTGTTGTTGATGTGTACTGTGTGACTTACTTTTGTTGCTGGTGTGCGCCGTGTGATTTGATTTGTCGGCGTGTGCTGAGCGTGCTTTAGGGACGTTGTAGGGGCCGGGCTTCAATGGCGTTTTAGGGGCCAGGCTTTAGAGGAGATGTTGTCGGGGCCAGGCCGTAGCGATGTTGTTTTAGGGGCCTGGCTTCAGAGATGTTTTGCCAGCTGGGCTTCAGGGATGTTGTCGGAGGGGCCGGGCTTTGGGATGTTTTAGGGGCTGGGCTTTAAGAATGTTCCAGGGGTGGGTGTTCTGCGGTTTGTGCGAGGTGCGCGATATAGGACGAGCGAGGAGAGAATGGGGGTTCAGCGATGTTAACGAGGGCGATCATGAGGACGGTGACGCCGAGAATGTTGAAGAGGAAGAGGAGGACATGTTGTTGACGAGGCAGCAACAACGCGTCAGACCGCATGGGGTTGTTGAGCCAGAGACATTGGCATGCAGTAAAACGGCCCCTCGAGGAAACGTTTCCTGGACCCCAGAGGGGAGACTTATCGATGCCGTTCACCGTGCCCCCTATCTCCGATCCCCAGGCCTCCGAGGATAGTGCAGGGGCTCCCCTAGTTCAATAGCGCGCCACCCTCTCTCCGCTCGGACCATGTCTGCAAGCGCCGATTGGGGGGCAATGCGTGCGAGCGCACCATGTCTGCGCACGCCTGTCTGCTAGGATCCCCATCTCCAGTGCAAGCGCTGGGGGCTTCGGAGGAGGAGGGCTTCGGAGGAGGGCGGGGGAGGAGGGCTTCGGAGGAGCTTGGAGGACAATGTTGGTAATGTTTTGTGTCTACGCTTGATTCCATTGTTGACGCTGTGTTGTGTTCAACGTCTTGCGATGGGCGTTGCGGGCAGCGCTGTCAAAACATTGGGAACTCAGGCACTATACGTCACAGCCCCATGATCTCATAGGCAGGCCCCTCTAGCATTATCTGAGCGCGGCGAATGCATCACCAGAAGAAGGAAGTTGCATACGCAGCGTCGCACGCGCTGCTAGCTCAACTAAGATCGAGGAGATACAAGCAAGCTTCACGGGTCTTACTCGCTCGCCGTGCTCTCCTCAGCAGCCCCTACCTGGGCGCCGCCGACCTACGCGCCGCCAGCAGCGCAAGCCAACCTACGAGCCGACACCGTCGGCAAAATGCGAGTCGCAATCTTCAGCATCCTCCTCATCATCGCCTCCACCACCGTCGCCGGCAGTGAGCTCCTCGATGCGCTTCAGCAGGTCCGCCTTCGACTGGCCTGAGCCGCCGCCGCGGCCACCGCCGCGGCCTCCTCCTCCACCGCCGCTGCCGACGGCATCATCATCTCCACCACCGTCTGCTGCACCACTCCCCGCGCCGCGACCGCCGCGCCCGCGGCCGCGGCCGCCGCGGCCGCCGCGGCCGCCGCGGCCGCCACAGCCGCCCCCGGCGGAGCCGCTACCGCTGCCCTTGTTGTCGTCGCCTCCCAGCGGCTGATGATCCTCGCCTCGTGCTCCTTGACGATGGCCGCCAGCTCGGGCTCGTAGAGCCCGCTCCCTTCCGTGATGAAAGCTTTCCACACCTGCTTCGTGAGCCACATGATCCCGTGCTTGATGTGCGTCTCTGTGAGCGCAATCCCAAAGTACGGCTTCCTCACCCTCAAGCACGCGAGCGCGTCGTTGAAGGGCCCGCTCGCGAGACTGATCACTGAGACCAGGTCGTAGGAGTGGTGCCACTCTTGATCGCACTCCAACGGCATCGCGTGGAAGAAAACAGCCTCCAAGTCGGTGGGGGACCTCGACTTGTCCTTGCACTTGTTGCTGCCTGCCTCGTCATCGGGGCCCGCGCCGCCGACGAGAATCTTCCCGTTCTTGCCGATCCGACGCCCCGCCGTCGAGGCGAAATCTATCTTTCTATCTAGAGACATTGGGCGAGGAGGAGGATGAGGAGGTGGAGGATAGGGGGGGGGGGGAGGAGGAGGAGGGGGGGAGGAGGAGAACGAAGAGCGGCGAGGTGCAAGGGAAGGAGAAGGAGGGCGAGAGGTGGAGGATAGGGAGAAGGAGGGGGAGGAGGACCAAGTCGGTTTCTCTTTTTCCCAAACGGGTTCTAATTATCCCAGTGCGACCCTACCTAGGAGGTGGAACACCTAGGGAAGCAACATCTACATCTACACATACATCTACACCAACATCAACAGCGATAATCACATCCACATCTACATCCACATCTACATCTACACCTACACCTACATCTACACCTACATATACATCTACATCTACACCTACATCCACATCTACACCCTATATATACGTCTACATTTACACGTTCACAGTTGGTTTGCTTGTGATGTGCATGATATGCTATGTTATGCTTTGCTATGATAGGATATGCTTGGCTATGCTAGGATATACCACGCTGCGCTTTGCTGCGCTAAGCTAAGCAAAGCTAAACTAAGGTAAGCTAACCTATGAGTCGCTATGCTATGCTATGACATGTTATGATATGATATGAGATGCTGCGCTATGATATGTTATGCTGCGCTATGCTATGCAATGCTATGAAGTGCTGTGCTGTGCTATGATATGCTGCGCTGTGCTATGCTACGCAATGCTATGTTATGCTATGCTATGTTATGATGCGCGATGCTATGCTATGCTATGATATGTTATGCTGAGCTGTGCTATGTTATGCTATGCTATGCTATGCGATGCTGCGCTATGCTTATACTGTGCTAATGATGCGCTGCGCTATGCTGCGCTAAGCTAGGCTAAGGTAAGCTAAACTATGCTAAGCTAGGGCTAAAGCTAAGCCAAGCGAGGCTAGGCTAATCGAACCCCACGACGACGATAATCAAGCACCCCCCCCCGTCAAATGTAAGAGTTGATTATCGTCGGCCTAGTAGGGTTTCAAATCTAGGCGGGGGGGCGTGGAGGCCGAACTTTATTATCACTGGGGAAGTCCGCCATCGAGGTTACTTCCTTCTTATGTTGAGATAACAGCACCAAGCGAAACGAACGCGTTTTTTTCCAGGATGTCCCAAGCGAAACCAATAATTTTGGGAGGCGGCCTCAAACGAAACGATCAATGTTTCAAGGATGTCTCAAGCGGAACCTGCAATTATTTGAGGATGTCTCAAGCGAAGCGAAAAACTTGTCGAGGGTGCCTCAATCGAAACAAGCATATACTCGAGGATGTCTCTCTCTCTTTCTTTCTCCTCCTCACCGTGGCCCCTGAACTTGTTTATCACTGCGCTTTATTATCCAAGGAAACCGAGGCGGATGAGCTCGCGAGCAGATGAAATTTCTGATTTCCAGTAAGCGTTTACAAATTAAATATAAGAAGTTTTGAACTTTGGATTTTTCCTTCCCCTCTGCGTGTCCTATTCTTCCTGATCGTCATATTCCTCTTCTTCCCCCTCTTCTCTCTCTCCCTATCTCTCTTCTACTATTTCTGACCCCCCCCCCCCCCCTGCCCCCCTGAACTTGTTTGCCGCTGGGGGTGATTAGCTTGGGGAAACGAGGCGCGTGAGCTACCTGCGCGAGCAGATGAAAATGCTAATTTCAATTCACCGTTTACAAATCAAATCTAATAAGTCTTAAAGTTTCGATGTTTGGTATCTCATTATCCTCTCCTCCTCTTGCCCTTTCTCCTCCTCCTCCTCCTCTTCCTCCTCTACCTCCTCTTCTATATCTTTCCATTTATCTCTCTATCTTTCTTCTCCTCCCCCTGCCCCCTCTGAACTTCTCTATCGCTGTGGTTGATTATCCTGGGAAAACGAAGCAAACGATGAGGCATCTCTATAGAAACCAATAGGAATCTCTATAGGAACCAATAATAGGAATCTTCGGGGACCTGTAAGAATTACAGGAATGCGCTCAAAATTCTATAGGAAACCATTTCAATGTTTTTGTAATTTTCAAATATAGAAGCGAAGCTCAGAGAGCGCAGCCGCGCGCGCGGCGGCGCCCCACTGAGCTTCACTTCTATGTTATTCACCATTACTAAATCGACATTCAAGATTCCAAAAACGAGATTGAATATTTATGGAGCCCTTTCAGGAGGCTGAAGGAACGCGGCGGCTTTTCGTATCTTTTATAATGCAGAGTTGAAGCTCGGAGGCGCGCGCGCGCGGGTGACCCGGACACCGCGCGCGCGCTTCCTAGCTTCAGTTCTTGATAATAAAAATATAAAAAGCCGACAAGTTCCTTCAGCCTCCTTAAAGGGCCCCAGAATTTGTCGATTTCGTTTTTGGAATTATGCGTTGGTTTATTAGTAGTGAATAATATAGAATCGGAGCTCAGAGGCGCACGCGCGCGCGCGCCTCCGAGCATCAGTTCCGTATTATAAAAAAATATTAAAAGCTGACGCGTTCCTTCGGCCTCCTTAAAGGGGCGCAAGAATTTTTCAAATTTGTTTTTGCAATTAAATGTCGATTTATTAATGGTGAAAAAAATAGAGGTGAAGCTAAGAGGCGCGCGCGCGCACCTCCGAGCTTCAGTTCTGTATCATAAAAATATCGAAAGCCGGCGCTTTCCTTCAGCCTCCTTAAAAAAAGGGCTCGAGAAATTTCCAATGTTGTTTTTTGAAGGTGTTTCAGAGAGGACCAAAAGCTAAGGATGTCTCAAGATATCCTCGGCTTCGGCTCCTCTGTTCACATAATTATCATGATATGCTGGCCTCTGGCCGGCAACTTTTATTATCGCTCCATGGCGCCGAACTACTCTATTACCCCTGGAGGTTTATTCTCTATAATAGTTCGAGGTTAAGCTAAGCTAAGCTAAGTCTAGCGAAGCTAAACTTAGCTAAGCTAGGCTAGGCTAGGCTAGGCTAGGTAGGCGGGGGGCCCTGGGGGAACCGCGGGGCGGGTGCCGGGGGAACCGCCCGGGGCGATTTCCACTGCCCGGCCCTTTAAGCATACAGGGTAAGGCAGAGCCTAGGTGGGGAGATATCAAAGACGACAGAAAAAACTGCACACCGCGTCCAGGAGGAGGCGGATGGACGAGCATAGTAATGGGAGATACATTTCAATAGTAATACCTATGCGACCACCCTTCGGGTGATAAGGAGGTTCGGGGGGGGGGGACCAACGTCTCACTCGATCGGTCTCACTATTGATCTCATTATCAATCTCACTGTCGGTCTCGTTCGATCGATCTCACTCGGTAGATCTCACAATCGACGATATAACTCTATCGGTTTCAATCGATCGATCTCACAATCGATCTGACTGTCGATCTCGCAATCGAAATCAAAGACGATCTCGCGTCGATCTCACAGACGATGTCATATTCGGTCTGACTATCGATATCACAATCGATATCACAATCAACGTCGTCATCATCATGAGTATCATCGTTATCAACGTCATCAACATCATCATCAGCATCATCGGGAAACCATCATCATCATCACTTCATCATCATGATCATGTATAGGAATGAACAGCATCATCAGCATCATCATCATCATCGGGACATCATCATCACAATCCGCATCATTAGCAACACCATCATCATCAACATCATCACCATCGGAACACCATCATCATCATCGCCACCATCATCATCAACAACATTATCATCAACCACATCATCGGGGCACCATCACCATCATCAACATCATCATCATTGGGCCACCATCATCAAAACCATCATCATCCCCTCATCATCATCATCACAAGGACACCATCAACGTCATCATCACCACTAGTATCATCATCATCATCGTGACACCATCATTATCATCACAATCATCATCAGCAGCATCATCAACCACACCCTCATCATCGTCATCATCATCACCATCATCAGGACACCATCATCCCCATCATCCTCATCATATGATCTGCATCGACATCATCAGGATCATCAGCATCATCATCATCGGGACACCATCATCACCATCAGCAACATCATCATCATCAACATCATCATACTCATCATGGGGGCGCCATCATCATCACCGCGATCCCCGTCGCCATCATCAATATCGCCAACCTCATCATCATTAGCATTATCATCATGATCTGGACACCACCATCATCACCACCATCATCACCATCATCATCATCATCACCAGCATCATCGTCAAAATCATCATCATCATCATCACCATCACCATCATCATCATCATCCTCATCATCATCATCATCATCATCGGGAAACGGACGGGGCACCAGCGGGACACCAGCGGGACACCGCGCGCTTCCGGCCCCCGAGCGGGACACCGGCGCGACACCGCGGGGCACCGGTTGCCGGAAGGGAGGCTTTCGGTCCGGCCGCGCCTCAGCTACAGAAGATTTATTTCTCGCCCGCCCACGCAGCTTCTTCTTCGCCTCGCCCGCGCGCACGGCGCGCACGACAACGAAACCGCAACCGATTTCCCGGCAGTAGTAGGAGGGGGGCTCGCCGTTCCACTTCGAACTCACCCCCTCACCTCCGACCCATCCTCCGTCGCAATTTTGGCTCGAGCGATAGGCGCCCCCCACCATCCACGGTAACAACTCCAGTGGGGGGAAAAATGCGGAAGATCAAGCAAAGCTTCGTGAAAAATCTCACGCTTGATCTTGACCTGCTCCTGCCAGACGTGCTCGCTGGTCCACGAGGGGGCGACGATCGGGCCGACTAGATTCCCTCGGTTGCCCCCGGGGTAGCGCAGCCTCTTGTGGTCAGACAAATCCAACACGTGCTTCGACACGACATAAACTTTCTCTACCTGGTTAACTGTCGAATGCCCCCGGCGGACGTCCAGACGAGCATCGAGGGACTCCATGTCGAAATGCAGATACACCTGGCGAATTTGCTTCACCATCTGCGCACCCTCCGAGTCCACGAAGCCGCTCAGCAAGGTCGTCTTGTTACCTGGGGCTCGCCCTCTGATGGCCCTCCTCCTCCCCTCCTCCTCCTCCTTTTGTTTTCTCCTTCTCCTCCTTCTCTTCCTCCTCCTTCTCTCCTCCTCCTTCTCCACCTCCTCCTCCTCCTCCTCTTTCTCCTCCTCCTCGGCCCAGCCCCGCCCGCCCGCGTTCGTTCGACCCTGCTGACCCTCGCGGCCGGCGTCGAAGATGAAGTACAAGTCCCGATCACCCATCTGGAAATCGGTGGCCCTCAACGCCAGCGACAACAACTTCTTCAGGTGTTCGCCGTTCCCCCGGAGCGAAGGAGGGCGCGCGTGCGGTTTCGAGCTGGGCTCCCCGCAGTGGTTCGGGCCGTAGAAGAAGCCGCGATAGTTCTTCTTGTCCTTGGAGCCGGTGGTCCTGTAGGCGGCGCTGTCCTTGAAGCGCTGGATGATGACGTCATCGGGCTCCACTTCCGAGACCAACTCCACGTGCGTGTGAACCAGCGTGGACGCCTTCGCCTGGAAGTAGGAGACGCGCTTGGCCTTGGCCTCATCAGCCTCGGTCTTCTTGACGAGCTTCTTGATCTCCGGCATCTCTTCCAACGTCAGGCATGGTTCCTCGTCCTCGGGATCGTCGCTGACCTCCTTCTGATGATCTTCTGCCGCCTTCCGGGTGCGCTCCTCCGTGCCGGGCATCTCGTTGATTGCGCTCGCCGCCTCGGCCAGGTCGCCCTGCTCCATGCACGACTTGGGGTCGCACCGCTTGAGGACGGCAGACTTGATGCCCCTGTCGAACTCGTACCCGAAGATGGCGCCCTTGAAGAAAAGGGCAGGGCTTCAACGGCGCGCGCCAGCACCCCCCATAACCACCCGCCAGGAAGCCGAGGGGGCCCGGGCGGATTCGAGAGGCACAGACATCGCCGTTGAGCCCCGCCACCTCGATCAGCTCGAACGTCTTCTCCGCGGCCTGGCTCCACCCAGCTCGCCACGCGAAAGAGGGCTTCTTCATGTTCGGATTGTAGGCGTACCCCGCCTTCGAGCGGAAGTGCGCAATGCTCTTGCAGGTGTCCCGGATGGCGACCTTGGCGTTGGAGTCGAGGGCAATCCCGTCGAGCCACTCGCCGACCATGTAGCTCAGGAGCCATTGCTTGTAGACGAGAAGGTCGATCAAGCCCTTGCCGCCGGAACTGCTCCCCGCTGACTTGCCCTCGAGGGCGCGGGTGCCCATGTCCTCGATGTTGATGCCCCCGCTGTTGTAGAGGTCCAAGAGTAGTTCCGCGGCCCACTCGATGCGCTCCGCGGTGACAGCTTTGTGCAAGAATGCGTTGAACTGGCCAATCTTCTTGAAGGGGTTCGGCAGCTGCGACTCCTGGGCAGCCAGAATCAATGTCTTCACCCTCGGGGCGGAGAGCATCCTGTCGTACACGTTCAGAGCGTTCTTGACGAACTCGTTGCTGGTAGGGTTCTCCTCGGATCAACAATGGCGCCCCAGACGCAAAGACGCCAAAATCAAACCTAAATCCAAACAACCGAACCTAAATCCAAACGTCAAATTATCCCAGCGCGACCCTACCTAGGAGTGGGAGCCTCGAGCAGCAGCAATAATAGTGGATGCTGCGCTGCGCTATGCTATGCTATGCTATGCTGCGCTATGCTATGCTACGCTTGGCTGCGTTATGTTATGTTATGCTATGCTATGATATGATATACTATGCTATGCGGCGCTATGATATGCTGTGCTATGCTGCGCTATGCGATGCTATGAGATGTTATGCTATGCTGCGCTGCGCTATGCTATGCTATGCTGGGCTATGCTATGACCTGCTGAGCTAAGCTAAGCTACAGCTGCGCGAAGCTAAGAAGATGAAGCTAAGCTAAGCTAAGCCAAGCTAAGCTACGATGAGATACGCAAAGCTAAGGGCTAAGGTAAGAGGGCGCAACTGGGGGGGCCGCGGGGCGGGGGCCGGGGGAGCCGCCCGGGGCGAAGCCAACTGCCTGACCCACTTAAGCCCAGCGAGTAGGAACCATCTAGGCAGAGCCTACTAGGTAGGGAATCAAACCTAAATCCAAACATAAAGCTCGAGCGTACTTGCTAAAGCAACCATTGTTGATCCGATGTTGTATCCTCTGAGTCGCCGCTGAAGGTCACCTTCGACGCCTTGTAGGCGTCGGCAACCTGGGCCGGCGTCATCCCTCCACCCTTGCGGCTGCGGAACGAGACGATGTCGTAGATCTTCTGCACCAGCGTGTAGCTCATGCCCATGTAAGCTGCGTGGGTGTCCTGGCGGCACTGGAGATTGACGAAGTGAGCGTCGTCAGTGTTCTCAATCACCCTGAAGACGAAGGTCGCAGTGAGAAAAACTTTCCGCCACTCCTCCATCACTTCATCGCCCTTGCCAGCCTTCCACTCGCGATGGGCTGCCCGAGTGCACGCGTGGAGGGGCTCAGGCGGCGACGCCCGCATGAGCCGGCCTTTCGCGGCAGATGGGAGATCGGCGCCGTTCTTCAAAGCAATGACGAAATCCTGCTTGCAAGGCGTCGGGGAGCTGAAGAAGTGGTCCTGTAGCTTTGTGATCCCCTTATCGCTGAGCGGGACGTCGTGGCCTGGGCCAGCCTCCTCTTCCATGCGCATCCAGAGCAAGTTGTACCCGCACTTGTACTCGAGCTTGGAGATGTCCTGATTGTCATCCTGGTTGGTGAACGCAGCCCTGAAACGAGCATCGGAGTACGGCTCCTCGCGACCGCCCTGGCCGATGGGGAGGGCCTGTTCCTCGTGGATCTGATTGAAGCAATCTACATTCTCGACCAGCTCCTCGATCATCGTGCGAAGCGTGTCGTAGGCAACAGCGTTGGGAGACTGGGCGTGCAGTGATAGCATTTGCCCTTGCTGAGGAGACTGGTGGGCTTGCGCCTTTGACTTTGCTTTTGACTTTGCCTTTCCCTTGCCTTTCCCTCCTGCCTCAGAAGACGACTTCGCTCTCTTCGCCGACGACTTCGCTCCGGCCCCGCATCGTTTCTGCTTCCCTACGGCCGACGGCTCATCCTCCTCCTCCTCCATCTTCATGGCGGCGTCGCCAGCGGCATCATCATCAGCCGCTCTAGCCATGAGTTCCGACTCGACGGTCATGAGGCTTGCTGGCCGGCACTGCAATGATGTTGGTCGTTGCTGGCTGGCGATTTACCCGCAGTCTGTAATTCGAGCCATGACGCCAGACTGCTGATGCTGTCGACTATATGATGGGTGTGTGTTTGTGATGCGTGTGTTTGCGATTGTTGTGTGTTGCGTGATTTTTGTTGGCGGTGCGTCTGCGTGATTGTCGTTGGGCCATTTCCTTGAGATACCTGCTAATGCTGATGTCTACCGTGTGATCTTTGTTGCGGGTGTGTGCAGTGTCCATTTAGTTGTTCGTGTGTTATGTGTTTTTGTTGTCGCTGGTGCATGCCGTGCGAAGTACCCAGACTCCCCAATGGGCGTTAATATCTTTTTGTTTGGCGGACTCCTGAGAACGAGCGTTTCGCTTAAGACGTCCTCACTCACAACAACGAGATATTCGCAATATCGTAATTCAGTGTTGTTGTTGCGTTATGTGTTTGATTGTTGTTGTTTTTTGAACGCGCATGGTGATGATGAGGAGGAGGATGCTGATGATGGTGATTTGATTATATGGTGAAGATGTTGCTCAGTCGACGCACACATATATGAAAGAGTATGCTGGAACGGGTCTTATGGCGAGACCGCGCGCATCGCTGGCGATATTCGCCAGGCGATCTACACCGCGAAGAGCCTCCAGCAGGCGCTCTTCAGCGGCCGCCGTTTGTCGGTCCGAAAAGGCCCCAACCACAAACATTTTTCGCCACTTGAGATTGTGGCCCACCATGTGGGTGGGGTGAGGGCGGGGCCCGCGTGCGTTTCTTTCACATCGATAGCACAGGCCGCCCTGCCACCTCCACGCGGGGTCGCTGGTGGACCCCACGTACGCGGATGCATCTTCTCCAGATGAATCACAGCTCACGTGTGCAACGATGCGGCCCAAAAGCGCGTGCTCTGTGATGTCCAGCAGCGGGGTCCGCACCTCGATGTGATCGGGGCATCTCGCCGCGGCTTGCCGGGCGACGAGCGCCGCGTCATCGCGCGCCGCCCCCCAGAGGATCCGCAGCCGCTCCTCTGGGGGCGGCGGCGGCGCCCACCTGATCCTCCTCTCTGTCGTCGTAGGACGGGCGCCACGATCATTCGGCAACAGCGGGCCACCTGCTGGCGATCGCACGGCCGCCGCCTGCGGGGCTGCAGCTGGCCGCGAGGCCGCCGCCGCCGGCTGTGTTCCTCCAGCGCCCGCCACCCCAGCAGCGCCCGCCGCCCGCGAGCCTCGCGACGACGACGGCGACGACGACGGCGACGACGATGGCGACGGCGACGACGACGACGATAACAACGACGACGACGACGACGTCGACGACGACGACGACGACGACGGCGATGGCCGGGCGACGACGACGACGACGACGGCCTCCCGCGTCCGCCGCCGCTCCTCCTCCAGGAGGTCCAGCGACCGCCTCCCCAGCAACAGGGCTCGCCGCCCGCGAGCCTCCAGCGCCCACCGCCGCTCCAGCACCGTCCGCGGCCCGCAGGCTTCCAGCTGCGTCCGCCGCCGCCCCGGCAGCAGCGCCCGCCCGCGGGCCCCCAGCAGCAGCAGCGTCCGCCGCCGCCGCCAGCTGGCCTCCAGGGGGGCGCTCAAGCCCCAGCGCCCGCTGCCCACCGCCACCAGCAGCAGCGCCCGTCGCCTGCAGGTCTCCAGGCTTGTCGCCGCTGCCAGCGCCAGCAGTAGTAGTTGTCGCGCGCCACTGCCGCGCCGCCCATCCGCCAACCATCGACGATGATGAGAATGGCGGTAGCGAGCTGGTCGCGACGATGCCGCGGGCGTCGCCGCAAGCCACGGCCGCCGGGCCGTCGTCGCCGCCAGCCGCTGTCCGTGCTCTCGTCGCCGCAGGCCACGTGCCCGCGCCAGCAGCGTCCGCCGTCGTGCCACCCTGTTGTTGGCCTCCAGGATTGGCCAACTCCTCCTCCTCCCCAGCAGCTCTGCCGAAGAGCCTCCTCCTCCTACTAGGTGGACTTCGGCCCCGCCGACGAGCCTTCTGCGCTGGAGTCGACGGGCTGAAGGACGGGCTGAAGGGAGTCGGTGACTCCAGCAACCACGGGCGCCGAGGCACAGCAGGGCGGCGCGGCGGCGACTCCAGCAACCATGGGCGCAACAACTGCGCCATGATGGCTGAAATGGTGCTGTGTTTAAGCTACTTGAGCCAACACAGCTACGGACATGATGATGATGATGAATAATAATAATAATGATAAAGCAACGGTGGTTTCTGGATGTTTCTGGGTGGTGGGTGAAGGGGGCGGGTGGGTGGGTGGTGTGTGGTGGTGGGTGGTGGGTGGTGGGTGGGTGGGTGGTGGGTGGGTGGTGGGTGGGTGGTGGGTGGTGGGTGGGTGGTGGGTGGGTGGTGCGTGGTGGTGGGTGGTGGGTGGGTGGTGGTGGGTGGGTGGTGGGTGGGTGGGTGGTGGGTGGGTGGTGAGTGGGTGGTGGGTGGGTCGTGGGTGGTAGGTGGGTGGTAGGTGGGTGGTGGGTAGGTGGGTGGTGGGTGGGTGGTGGGTGGTGGTGGTGGGTAGGCGGCGGGCGGGCGGTGGGCGGGGCAGCCCCAAGATGGCCCTGAGATAGCCCAAGCTGGCCCAAGATGGCCTCAAGCAAGATGACTCCTTGGGAGGGAGAGCTGCCACCACCTGGGGCTCGTAAGTAAGAGGAGGGGAGTGGGAGGGGTTCCGGGAGAAAGGAGAGTATGAGGATGAGGAGGATGAATGGGGATTTTTTTTGGGCGGTGTCGGGACGCGGCGCCCCGCCCGCGCGCCCGCGCAGGAGTTGTTGCTCCTGCTGCCGGCCGACCGAGCCGACGCCGCCCTTTCTTGTTGCCTCCCCTCACGGGCCGGCCAGCCCGCCGGCCGGCGCCGGACGCTCCCTTCGTGCGAGTGCGTATGTATGTGTGTATGTATGTATGTATGTGTGTATGTATGTATGTATGTATGTATGTATGTGTGTATGTATGTATGTGTACGTGCGTATGCGTACGTACGTACGTACGTATGTATGTATGTATGTATGTATGTATGTGTGTATGCATATGTATCGGAGGTGAGGGGCTGAGATCGAAGTGGAACGGGGGGCCTCCCTACCACCGGGAAGTCGATTTCGGTTTCGTGGGCGAGGCGAAGTTGCGTGGGCATCCTTTCGACACTCGCGGAGTCTGAGGCCCTCGGGGCCGAAGATGGATGAGAGCGCATTGGCTCGCAAAGCATGCAGCATGATGATAGCATGATGGAGCAGGACTCTACCAGACAGCAACGTACCGCACTCTCTACCAGACAGCAACGTACCGCACCCCCTACCAGACAGCAGCACAGTGCTACCAGACAGCAACGTACCGCACCCCCTACGACGACGACAACGACGACGACGACGACGACGACCGACGCTGACGCCGACGCCGACGCCGACGCCGACGCCGACGACGACGACGACGACTACGACTACGACGACGGGGTTGCGGTACGTTGCTGTCTGGTAGAAGAGTCTGCACAGTGCTGTCTGGTAGCGTCTTGCCGACGTCTGGTACCTAATTACAAACTCGGGAGTGCACGAATGGCACCCTATTATTGCCGACGTTTGGCACCTACTTGCCGACGTCTGTCACCTACTTATTTACGAATAATACTATGCTGGGCTGCACTCGGCGCGCTCAAGCTCCAGGCTCCAAGTCCTCGAGGGCGCGGCCGAGAAAATTCCAAAATTCCGTCCAGCGAGGGTCGAGGGCGTATCATCCCGCGCCTCCCATGGCCCGCCCCTCCCCCTCTACTTACTACCCCGCCCCTCCCCCTCTACTTACCCCTCCCTCCTCCCCCATCCCCCCCCCCCATGCCCACACCTTTACTTATTATTATTACCCCGCCCTCGACCTCTGCACCTCTGCCAATTAATGCTCATCCGACTCACCCGAGGGCTCATCATCCGAGCGCCGCGGGCCCCACCTCCTGCGGCGGCGCCCCGCGCTGCTGCTGCTGCCACTAGAAGAAGACGACGCGACCGACGCCGCCGCTGAGCTAGGCTGCGGCATGGCGGGCGCCACGGCGGTCACCGACCAACCACCGTTGGGGGGCGCCCAAGAAGAAGACGCTTCTGACGCCGCTGAGCCAGGCTGTGGCACGACGGGCGCCGGCGGGGTCACCGACCAACCGCTGGAGGGCGCCCAAGAAGAAGAAGACGCCTCCGCCGACGCCGCTGGGGCCGAAAGTGCCGAAAACTCGGACGGCACCGCCCGGCCGATGTCGCTGGTGGGCGCGGCCGAACAACTCGACGGCGCCGCGGTCGCAGCCGAGGGGGCACTCGAAAGATTTCGTCGGCGGCGCCACCTCCTTTGGAGTCCAGCACCGCGCTCGACGACCCCGCAGCAACGACGGCACTACTCGGAGGCGCCGCACTCGGCGTCGGCGCACTCCTCACCAGGCGGCTGACGTGGGCCAGCCAGCACCTGCGGCCACCACCATTGGCGAGAGCTAGGCACGCGTAAGGAAAGAGCCAATCGGGCGGCGTCGGGTACGGCAGTCCCACAACCACGGGCCACCACACGCCAGGTTGGCCGATCTGGAGCGGTGTCGATGTCTCCGCATTCGAAGTGCCATCAGCGAAGAGCCAGCAATCCACGAAGTCCACACATTGCGCGTGCTGCCAGGCCGTTTGCCCGAGGGGCCTCCAGCCTGTCCCCATCTGCCGTTTCTTGCGGCAGAACTCCCATAAGTCGTTGCAATCTTCCAACCTGATGGCACTGGTGCGGACGATGTGATCCTGCCGCTGCCGTTCGAAAGACTCGTTGTGCGGCACAACGGCGAATTCTGAGAGCACCGACCTGGCGGAACGCCGCCACTCCTCCATGAGATCATAGCACAACAAATTATCCACGGAAGTTGCCATGCAGGCAACAAAAATTAACGATGCCAAAATGGCGGGCGCAGAACTCTGAGCCCTGAAATAGAAATAGATACGGACACAGGAGGAGGTGGATGCATGGATGCAAGGATGCAACGACGCCTGTTTGGATGGCAAGGATGCAAGGATGCCTGTTTCGTCCCCGGGCGCAAGGATGCAGGGTGCAAGAACGGCTACAGACGGTCGGACATGTGAAAGTGTGTCCCCGGCGAGCGGTTCCGCGCGGTGTCCGCTGGTGTCCTTGATGATGATGATGGTGATGATGAGGATGATGATGACGAGGATGATGATGATGGTGGCGATGATAATGGCGATGATGAGGATGATGATGATGGTGGCGGTGATGATGATGTTATGTTGATGATGATTATGGTGATGATGATGACGATGATGATGATGGCGATGATGATGATGGTAAGGGTGGTAATGACCTGGATGTAGCGGAGTACAACAGTTGTTGAAGGAGTGGATAAAGCGGGAGGGAGGGGGGAGAGGGGCGAGGAGGGGGGATGGATGGGGAGGGATTGGGGGAGCTGCTTGAGATACTGAGATACCGATGCGGCTGCGCCCAAAACTTACCCCAGGGCGCGACAGGGCCAACATTATTTCGAGGCGAATGGAATCCAGCCGCGGCGACGACGATGGCGCGATGCCGACTCATCTGGGACGAACGACTGCATGGGCACCACTGCGCACCTCCTGCATTGCCGCGAAGGCCCGGCAGGATCCGAATGAACCGAATGGACGAACGGAGAGGAGCGAGGGCAAGGGCACATGATATAGCATATGGAACATAAGCGAAAAAGAAAATAGCAAATAGAGTAGAGAAGGAGGGGCCCTCGCAGAATCACCAAGACCCCCAGGGCCTTATTATTATGGGGCCCCTGCCCGCCGCCCCCCATAAGAGGAAGAAAGGGCCCTGGAGCTTCGTGGAGCCATCGAGTGCCTGGAGGCCCCGAGAAGACAATGACGGGGCGCTCGCGTACATGTACCGGGGCCCTTGCGAATTTGTTGTGCAAATATTCTTGGGAATCTTTTTCAAATTAAAATCCGACCCTCCATCCCTCCAAACTCCGCCGCAGGCGCCCAGAATAATAATAATTTCAAATTGCGGCAGCACCCCCAAATTATTATTGGAGGCATACCCCCTGGATTTGCCCAGGACCCTCCAGGAATCTTAGGGGCCCTGACGGATTCTGATGGATTCTGCTGGTTTATGGAGCCCCGTCCTGGAGGATTCCTCCCTGGGCGCCCTCTTGGAGCCGTGTCGGGCCGTTTTGGGAAGCCGCTTGGGCCGTGTCGAGGCCATCTTAGGTCGTTTTGCGTCTTGGGCCGTTTTGAATCGGTCTTGGGCAATCTTGGCGGCCCTGGTGGCCTGTTTGGGCCAGGTGGCAATCATCTTGGATTCCTCGGAGGGCGCCAGGGGCATGATGTCTCGGCGCCGCATTTTGGACACCATCTGGTATCTGGAATCCAGATGACTGCCACCTTGGATTCCTCGGAGGGTGCCGGGCCATGTCTCGGACATGGCCCGGCACCGTTCGGCGCCGCATGTCCGCGCATGTTTCGGTGGCAGTCATCTTGGATTCTTCGGAGGGCGCCGTATGGAAAACGTATTGAGTGGCAATGTATCGCCTCATGTTGAGGCCCAGAATGCAAGTGAAACAGTTGTTTTTCTCAACCAGTTTTCTGGTGACCCCCCCCTTCGTGGGTCACCTGGTGTGCTTGCGCCGTATCGAAAACGCATTGAGTGGCAGTGCGCCGCCTCATGTTGAGGCCCAGAATGCAAGTGAAACAATGGGTTTCTCTCAACCAGTTTTCTGATGACCCACCCCTTCGTGGGTCACCAGGTGTGCTTGCGCCGTATGGCAAACGTATTGAGTGGCAATGACTCGCATCATGTTGAGGCCCAGAATGCAAGTGAAACAACTGTTTTTCCTCAACCAGTTTTCTGGTGACCCACCCCTTCGTGGGTCACCTGGTGTGCTTGCGACGTATGGCCAATATGTTGAGTGGCAGTGCATCGCCACATGACGAGGACCAGGATGCAGGTGGAACAAATTGTTTTTCTCAACAAGGTTTCGGGTGACACACCCCTTCGTGGGTCACCTGGTGTGCTTGCGCCGCATGGAAAACGCATCGAGTGGCAATGCATCGCCTCATGTTGAGGCCCAGAATGCAAGTGAAACAATTTGTTTTTCCAAACCAGTTTTCTGGTGACCCACCCCTTCGTGGGTCACCTGGTGTGTGTATCGCCGTATGGAAAACGCATTGAATGGCAATGCATCGCCTCATGTTGAGGCCCAGAATGCAAGAACATCTAAGGGTTTTTCTCAACCAGTTTTCTGGTGACCCACCCCTTCGTGGGTCACCTGACGTATTGAATGGCAGCGCATCGCCTCATGACGAGGCCCAAAATGCAAGTGAAACAATTTGTTTTTCTCTACCAGTTTTCTGGTGACCCACCCCTTCGTGGGTCACCTGGTGTGCATGCGCCGCATGGAAAACGTATTGAGCGGCAGCGCATCGCCACATGACGGCGCCCAGGATGCAGGTGAAACAATTTGTTTTTTCTCAACCAGTTTTCTGGTGACCCACCCCTTCGTGGGTCACCTGGTGCGCTTGCGCCGTATGGCAAACGTATTGAGTGGCAGCGCATCGCCTCATGACGAGGCCCAGAATGCAAGTGAAACAATTGTTTGTTCTCAACCAATTCTCTGGTGACCCACCCCTTCGTGGGTCACCTGGTGTGTTTGCGCTGCATGGAAAACGCATTGAGTGGCAATGCGTCGCCTCATGCTACGGCCCAGAATGCAAGTGAAACAATTTGTTTTTCTCAACCAGTTTTCTGGTGACCCACCCCTTCGTGGGTCACCTGGTGTGCTTGCGCCGTATGTAACGTATGGGAAACATATTAGGTGGCAGCGCGTCGCCTCATATTCACGCCCAGAATGCAAGTGAAACAGTTGGTTATTCTCAACCAGTTTTCTGGTGACCCACCCCTTCGTGGGTCACCTGGTGTGCTTGCGCCGTATGGCAAACGTATTGAGTGGCAATGCCTCGCCTCATGTTGAGGCCCAGAATGCAAGTGAAACAGTTGGTTTTTCTCAACCAGTTTTCTGGTGACCCACCCCTCCGTGGGTCACCTGGTGTGCTTGCGCCGCATGAAAAACGTATTGAGTGGCAGTGCTTCGTCTCATGTTGAGGCTGAGAATGCAAGTGAAACAATTTGTTTTTCTCAACCAGCTTTCTGGTGACCCACCCCTTCGTGGGTCACTTGGTGTGCTTGCGCCGCATGGAAAACGTATTAGGTGACAGTGCCTCGCCTCATGTTCAGGCCCGGACTGCAAGTGACATATTTGGTTTTTCTCAACCAGTTTTCTGGTGACCCACCCCTTAGTGGGTCACCATGTGTGCTTGCGCCGTATGGAAAACGCACTGAGTGGCAATGCGTCGCCTCATGTTGAGGCCCAGAATGCAAGTGAAACAATGGGTTTGTCTCAACCAGTTTTCTGGTGACCCACCCCTTCGTGGGTCATCTGGTGCGCTTGCGCCGTATCGAAAACGCATTGAGTGGCGCTGCCTCGCCTCATGTTGAGGTCCAGAATGCAAGAGAAACAAATTGTTTTTCTCAACCAGTTTTCTGGTGACCCACCCCTTCGTGGGTCACCTGGTGTGCTTGCGCCGCATGGAATACGTATTGAGTGGCAGTGTTTCGTCTCATGTTGAGGCCCGGAATGCAAGTGAAACAATTGGTTCTTCTCAACAAGTTTTCTGGTGACCCACCCCTTCGTGGGTCACCTGGTGCGCTTGCGCCGTATGGCAAACATCTTGAGTGGCAGTGCATCGCCTCATGACGAGGCCCAATATGCAGGTGAAACAATTTGTTTTTCTCAACCAGTTTTCTGGTGACCCACCTCTGCGTGGGCCCACTGGTGTGCTTGCGCCGCATGGAAAACGTATTGAGTGGCAATGCATCGCCTCATGTTGAGGCCCAGAATGTAAGTGCAGCAACTTGTTATCCTCAACCAGTTGTCTGGTGACCCACCCCTTCGTGGGTCACCCGGTGCGCTTGCGCCGTATGGAAAACGTGTTGAGTGGCAATGCGTCGCCTCATGTTGAGGCCCAGAATGCAATTGGAACATTTTGTTTTTCTCAACCAGTTCTCTGGTGACCCACCTCTCCGTGGGTCACCTGGTGTGTTTGCGGTGCATGGAAAACGTATTGAGTGGCAATGCGTCGCCTCATGTTGAGGCCCAGAATGCAAGTGGGTTGTTTCCTCAACCAGTTCTCTGGTGACCCACCCCTCCGTGGGTCACCCGGTGTGCTTACGCCGTATGGGAAACGCATTGAGTGGCAGTGCGTCGCCTCATGTTGAGGCCCAGAACGCAAGTGAAACAGTTGGTTTTTCTCAACCAGTTTTCTGGTCACCCACCCCTTCGTGGGTCACCTGGTGTGCTTGCGCCGCCTGGAAAACGTATTGAGTGGTAATGCCTCGCCTCATGTTGAGGCCCAGAATGCAAGTGAAACAGTTGGTTTTTCTCAACCACTTGTCTGGTGACCCACCCCTCCGTGGGTCACCTGGCGTGCTCGCGCCGTAGCGAAAACGCATTGAGTGGCAGTGCGTCGCCTCATGTTGAGGCCCAGAATGCAAGTGAAACAATTGGTTTTTCTCGACCAATTTTCTAGTGACCCACCCCTCCGTGGGTCACCCAGTGGGCTTGCGCCGCATGGCAAACGTATTGAGTGGCAATGCCTCGCCTCATGTTGAGGCCCAGAATGCAAGTGAAACAGCTGGTTGTTCTCAACCAGCTGTCTTGTGACCCACCCCTTCGTGGGTCACCTGGTGTGCTTGCGCCGCATGGCAAACATACAAAGTGGCAGTGCGTCGCCCCATGACGAGGCCCAGGATGCAGGTGAAACAAATTTGTTTTACCCAACAAGTTCTCGGGTGACCCGCGCCTTCGTGGGCCCCCTGGGGTGCTTGCGCCGTATGGAAAACGTACTGAGTGGCAATGCATCGCCTCATGTTGAGGCCCAGAATGCAAGTGAAACTAATTGTCTGTCTCAGCCAGTTGTCTGGTGGCCCACCCCTTGGTGGGTCCCCCGGTTTGCTTGCGCCGTATGGAAAACGTATTGAGTGGCAGTGCATCGCCTCATGTTGAGGCCCAGAATGCAAGTGAAACAGTTGGTTTTTTCTCAACCAGTTGTCTGGTGACCCACCCCTTCGTGGGTCATCTGGTGTGCTTGCGCCGCATGGAAAACGCATTCAGTGGCAAATGGGTTTTTCTCAACCAGTTTTCTGGTGACCCACCCCTTTCGTGGGTCACCTGGCGTGCTTGCGCCGCATGGGAAACGTATTGAGTGGCAGTGCATCGCCTCATGTTGAGGCCCAGAATGCAAGTGAAACAATTGGTTTTCTCAATCAGTTTTCTGGTGACCCACCCCTTCGTGGGTCACCTGGCGTGCTTGCGCCGCATGGAAAACGCATTGAGTGGCAGTGCGTCGCCTCATGTTGAGGCCCAGAATGCAAATGAAACAATTGTTTTTCTCAACCAGTTTCCTGGTGGCCCACCCCTTCGCGGGTCACCTGGTGTGCTTGCGCCGCATCGAAAACGCATTGAGTGGCAGTGCGTCGCCTCATGTTGAGGCCCAGAATGCAAGTGAAACCATTTGTTTTTCTCAACCAGTTCTCTGGCGACCCACCCCTTCGTGGGTCACCAGGTGTGCTTGCGCCGTACGGCAAACGTATTGAGTGGCAACGTTTCGCCTCATGTTGAGGCCCAGAATGCAAGTGAGACCATTGGTGTTTCCCAACCAGTTCTCTGGTGACCCACCCCTTTCGTGGGTCACCTGGTGTGCTTGCGCCGCATGGCAAACATATTGAGTGGCAGTGCGTCGCCTCATGACGAGGCCCAGGATGCAGGTGAAGCAATTTGTTTCTCTCAACCAATGTTCTGGTGACCCGCCCCTTCGTGGGTCACCTGGCGTGCATGCGCTGCATGGAAAACGTCCAAGGTGGCAGTCATCTGGATTCCTCGGAGGGCGCCGGGCCATGTCCTAGGGATTCCTGAGGTTCCCCTTGGGGTTCCTTAGGGCGCCCTAGGGATTCTCGGGGATTCGCAAGGGATTCTTAAGAAGCCCCGAGGGAATCCGACAGATTCCCTGAGGACCCCGCAGGATCCCCGAAGGATTCCTGAAGATTTCCGAAGGGATTCTTTGGGAGCGCCGAGAGATTCCTCAGGATTCCCGAGGGACTCTTGCAGATTCCGCTTTGAATCCCAAGGATTCCGCAGGGATTCTCTTGGATTCCCGAGGGGGCCATAAATAAGGATTCCCGAGGGTTTCTGGAGTCCGCGGGGATTCTTAACGACACGTTAGGGATTCCAAAGGATTCCTGAGGGATTCCTGACGATTCCCAAGGGATCCCTCAGGATTCCCTTAGGATTCTTCTTGAGGAGCCCTTAAGGATTCCTAAGGATTCCCTAGGGATTCCTAGGGATGCCCTCGGGATTCCTTAGGATTCTCTTGGGATTCTTGTGGATGCCCTAGGGATTCGTAAGGATTCCTTAGAAATTCCTCAGGGATTCCCAAGGGATCCCCAAGGATTCCCAGAGTCTGCCCCTCGCAGGCCGCCCTTCACAGGCTTCCATAGGCTTCCCCCGATAGGCTGTCCCCCACCGGCAAATTCAGGGAAACCCTCCTTGCCACCCGCCCAGCCAAGAATAATTTACGTTGCGCGCCTCAAATTCACCCTCCACGCTAAAAAAGCAGCAGGGCCGCGCACGCCATGAATAATAATTTGAAGCTTTTATTCTTCTTCGGAAATTTCAGGGCCACCTTGTAATTTCAAGCCCCGGGCCAGCCCCAGAAGAATAATATTGCATTTAACTTTGTTCCAGAACGCATTGAGATTCTTTGGAAATTCGAAGGTAACCCTCGAATTCCCCCCAAAACCCAAGAAGAAGTAGCTAATCGATAGGGCTAAATGATAATCAGCGCCCCGTCATAGAAGACAGCAACAAGCAGGGGGGGAGGCGACGGGCCATCGCCAGCCATGATGAAATCATGAGCCTCCCGACGCCTATGGGTAGTGCCAGCGCCCCCCCCCCCCTCATCCCTCCTCTCCCCTGCCCCCCACGACGACGTCGTCGTCGTCGTCGTCGTCGTCGTCGCCTCCTCCCCCCACGGGGCAGGAGGAGGAGGGGGCTGGCGACCGGGGCATGTAGCCGTAGATGTAGCCGCGAGAAGAAGCGGCCCAGGTCTGCGGGGCGCGTTCTGACCAGGGGATTCGAGGGGATAAGGGATAATAACGTAAAGCGGACCGTGTTCGTAAAATGCGGTCGCTTGAGACCGGGGCACCGCTGCCACGCCGCTTGAGTCGCGGTCGCTTGAGTCGCTTGAGCTTGAGTCGCTTGAGTCCTTGAGCCAAAATGGCTACGGATGATGATGATGATGATGATGATGTTGGCGAGTAGGGTTGTTATTATAATGATGTTGCTTATTATTTCTCAGTAGTAGTAGTAGTAGTAGTAGTAGTAGTAGTAGTAGTCGTAGTAGTAGTAGTAGTAGTAGTAGTAGTAGTAGTAGTAGTAGTAGTAGTAGTAGTAGTAGTAGTGATAGTAGTAGTCGTCTGTAACCCTGAGTGCGGGGTGGCCGCGGGTTCAATCTTTCAATTCCGACTAAGCGCGGGGCAGACTGCATAGGGGAATAGATTGCGAGGACGTCCAGGGCGAGAGCGCCATTCCTGAGAGCGAACAAACATGCATATGACGAGGGCATCTCTGGAGTAGGACATGTCGAGCGGGAGCCGCTGTCCTCGCAGTTGGGCCTCCGACGACTTGGGGCTCAATTGCGAGGAAGTCTCGAGCGAGAGCGCCGCTGCTGAATTCTTGGCAGGGCGTCTCGGAGTAGGTTAGGATGTAGAACGGGAGCCGTTGTCGTCGCAGTTGGGCCACCAACAACTTGGTTCAATTGCGAGGGATCCTCAAGCGAGAGCGCCGTTCCTGAGCTTTGGGCCTTCTCTGACCAGGGCGTCTCGGAGTAAGTTGTGGGCAAGTATCGAGTGGGAGCCGTTGTCGTCGTAGTTGGGTCTCCAACAGCTTGACTGGAAAGTCTCAAGCGAGAGCGCAAGTAAATCGTGCGGAAGTGCCGAGTGGGAGCCGTTGTCGTCGTAGTTGGGCCTCCGAAAAAAAAACCCATTGGTCCCCAAGCCCGCGCTCGAGCGGGAGCTTCGGTTGCAAAACAGTGCAATCGGCGTCGAGGCGAGAGCGCCCGGAACCGATTCCAAAGATCAGCAGTACTGATTCTCAAGAAACGAGTAATTAGTCGACGGCGACAGCGGCGGTGACAGCGAGAGGCAGGGGGAGGAGTGCGTGAGGACAGCGTCGACGGCCATCTTCGGCCAGCCACTCCCGCACGTCCACGCTCCCTGACACTGCCAGACTCGCCCAGGCGAACCTGGACTACGTGCCATGGGTGGTCCGCATGGACAGGACTAGAAGAAGAAAAAGCACGGCATAAACATAAAACTTGTTTGGCGCTCCGCGCCCCAAGTTTATGCTCGTGGCGTTTTTTTCGTCTTCGATGGGCAGCACACTCGGACACAGGCGGGGCAGGAACGGGAAAGGGGGGCCCCTCCTCCTCCTCCTCCTCCTCCTCCCTCCCTCCCTCCCTCCCTCCCTCCTCCTCCTCCTCCTCCTCCTCCTCCCTCGTCCTCCTCCTCCTTCCTCCATCCTCCTCCTCCTCCTCCCTCCTCCTCCTCCTCCTCCTCCTCCTCCTCCTCCTCCTCCTCCTCCTCCTCCCCTCCTCCTCCCGGCGCGCTGGCGTGGACAGCGGCCGCGCTCGCCAGGCCCGCCTGCTGGACCACCTTTGGCCGCGGGCTCCGACGCCTCCGCAGAGCCCGTGAGCGCCCACACCGCGAGGGCCGTTCTTGGGCGCGAATAGATCGGGGCTATAAAAGAAGGGGGAAGACATCGATCATCGATCCGCAACCCTCGTCGCCCTCCTTGCGAAGGGAAGGGGTCCTAGTGGAGGAGCGTCCTGGACCCAGGGGCTTCCGGCAGGACCGGCTTGTTCATCCCCAGTCCTTTTGGGCGCGAATGAATTAAGGGGCGATGCGTAAAAAGGGGAGTGGGGGAGAAAGGTGGCCTCTCTTCGGGCCCCGAAGAAGGCCCCCTCTGAGGCCCGAAAGGGCCCCTCTGGGGCCCATTGTGGGGGCCCTGCACCGCCAGAGGCCTGGGCAGACGGGCACTCCACCCGCCCGTCCCGCAGCAAACGTCCGCCCACCGAAGTGCAACGTTGAGCCTCCGGCAGGCGGCCCGCTGGGGGCCCTGGCCGCGATCTGCACCGCGCCTGCCGCACCGGCGGCCTTGGCCTGCGGGGTGGGCGGCTACGACCCCAGCCGCGTGCCCGCGAGGGTATCCTCGGCCCACACAGACCCGACGCTCCATCAAAAAAGCTGGAGCGGCGGGACTCTGGCAGTTTCCAGCTCCGGGGGCCCTCACCGCGGGCCTCGCGGGAGCGTCAAAAGACGACCCGGGACGAAGAGCGGGCCCCGGGGAAGTGGCCCGGACCTCCGGGACCCACGCATCGAAAAAATTGGAGCGGCCCGATGTCTGGGTCGATCGGGGTGGATCTGCGCAGGGCCGTGTTCCGGGTCTTGCACCAGGGGGGCCCCCCACAGTGCCCCCGGCCACGCGCTGTGCAATGGAAGCGCGTCCGTGGGCAGGGGGAGGAACAAGAGAGAGGGAGGGATGTGGGAAAGGCATGGATGGAGGAACAAGAGAGGAGGAACAAGAGAGGAGGAACAAGAGAGGAGGAACAAGAGAGGAGGAACAAGAGAGAGGGAGGGATGTGGGAAAGGCATGGATGGAGGAAAGGGGGGGGCGAACGCCGACCTCGAACCACTTGTACGTTGAGTCCTGCGCGACCCAGTAGGAGTTCAGCACCCGCAAGCTCGAGAGCTTGCGGCCAGCACGCTCCTCGGCGATGCTGCGCAGGTTGCGCACCGTCTTCCAGTGCTTGACGCCCTGGTTCGTCGGCTTGCCATAGACGATGCCCTTCGCGACGCGCTTCTTGCGGTCCCCGCGCTTGACCCTGACACGGTACCTAAGAGAGCCCGCGCCCAGCCACGTACAATGGTTTGACCATATGCTCGCCATTTCGCCAGGCCGCCCTCGTGTTACGATGTCGTCGTCTCGGGGCCCGGGGCGGATGAAAGAGATAGTAAATCGTCTCACGCAGCCGGCGTTCCCAATACCTCCTCGAGGCAGGAGCGGCCATGTGTCGAAGACGCCTGGCAGCGTGGCCGAAACCAGCTGCATGCAGAGGTGTTCGATTCCCCCGTCTCTCCCAATCTCCCCCAGTCGTTCAACATGGCACCTGCCGACCAACCAGAACTGGGGAAACGGTGCTCTCTATCCCCCTGGCAAAACCCATCGTGTCGACTCTCTCTCTCTCTCTCTCATCTTTCTCTAGAGAAAGAAAGATATAGAGAGTCGACTCTCTTCATCAGCGAAACGAACTTGTTAGTTTCCTCCTTGCATGTGCAAATGTTGAGCCAATCTTGGCTCAAGCCTGTCGAGCACCCCTGGCCCCCTCCTCCTCCTCCTCCTCCTCCTCCTCCTCCTCCTCCTCCTCCTCCTTCTCGTCCTCCCTCCCCCGGAGGGCCCAGGAGGTCTACGGAGGCCCCCGAAACGTAGTAGCATCGAAACATTACCAAGACGTCGATCCTCGGTCATCGATCCGCAACCCTCCTCGCCCTCCTTGCGAGGGGAAAAAGGTCCCAGCGAGAAAATGTTCTGGACCCTGGAGCTTCCCGCAGGACCGGCCCTTTGGGCGCGAACTAGTGGGGGGCGAGCCCGAAAGAGCCCCTTCAGGGGCCCTAGAGGGCCCCTTTGCGGCAGCCCTCGCCAACCCCCCATGCATCGGCCCCCCCCCTACGCGCCACCGAAACCTTTCTAACGGTCCCAGGGCCCAGGGAAGGCCATGGGGCACCGAAAACGGGGGCAAACCTCTAGGGCCCCTCCTCCCTCACGCCCTCCCTCCCTCCCTCCCTCCCTCCCTCCCTCTCCTCCTCCTCCTCCTCCTCCTCCTCCTCCTCCTCCTGGGGCCCAGGGACACGCAAATGAATACACACACAAAGCCCAAGATTCATCATACTTTCCCCGATCTTCTGCGCTTGTGTCTTCCCCCCCACTTCCCATATGTTTCCCATAAATTTCTGGGAATCGACGATTCATGTTGTCTGTGCGTTTTTTCCCGGGGACTCGGGTTGGCCTGGGTGGGCCATCATGCAAAGGACGAGGCCTAGCCTGAAATTTGACGCGAACTCCCGCTGCAGACATCCCACGAAAGCTGGACTGTCAAAATCCAGGACGCGCTCGTCAAAAAGCGTCGGCAAACCCGAGTTCTGACGTATTCGCATCGTACGTTTGCCCGAAAAGTATTTCGTGCCAGCAAGAGCCCCGGTCTGACAAGCAACCGCCCTCGACCGGTGTAACGGCTGCACGAGTTTCTGCTTCTGATTCGGGGAGGTGTCAAGCGAGAGCCGAAGTTTGGACATCGGCCGCCATCCGTCCCGTCCGTGCAACTTCTGGCACCAAAGTGGAAGAAGCACACAATGCGATAGCTTTGCAGCCAGGAAGATAGCACCATCCATCCTTTTAGGTATGCTGGAAACTGTTGATGCAAATATGCACGGTGCTCAAGCGATAGCAACAGTTCGAAAACCGACCGCCCTCCATCCCGAACATTGAAACGGCTGCGCACCGAGCAAAGGCGAGATCCACACGTTGCAAGTCATCCGCCCACCATACCCATACGTGGACAAAGATGCTTACGACATACCAAGGGAAACGCCCCGCCCGCCCTATCGACACGTCTTGTAGTGTGGCGAGGACGTTCTTATCCGCCGCCCCCCTTGGGGGCGCGAAGCTATGTAACAGATGATGCCAGCCCGCTGCCTTGTGATCGTTAATGATTGCCCATTATTCCCAGAAGTTGTGCAGTGCTTGCACTGAGGGTTCCTTCATGAGCTAAGTAAACTCGCTGGGTTGAGGGGCAACGATAGGGGGGACTGCTAGGGGGAGAAGAATCGACCTGGAATCGGCGATGCATCGCCGAGTGATCGGCGATAGGCCCCCGATCGCAAATCCCCACCTTCCTGGGCGGGGCGGGGCCATCGGGCCCCTGTCGGCGATCCATGGGCGATTGGGGGTCGATGGCCCCCCGTATGCCTGTCTCCCCCTATCGTTGCCCCTGGAAGCAATGTCAGCGTTCTCTTCTTCGGCGTCTCGACATTGGCCCGAGGAAAGGGGGGTGGGAGGGGGTCTGGCTCCGGAGCTCCGCTTCATGCGACTGTCTGCAGCAGTGCGTCCCATCGGGGAGACTCCACCTGCCTGAGACAGGCGCCAAAAAATAGGCAAGCGGGGTGCGAGGGCCCGCGCAGATCGGCAAAACAGTGAATCTCAAGGGGCCCAAGGACACAGAAATAAATACACACAAATAACAGGATTCCCCGTATTTTCGAATGTTTTTTGGATTTTCGTTTTCTCCCCACCTTCCCATATTTTCCCATATCTTCCTCGGAGTCGACGATTCATTGTGTCTGTGCTTTTCCCCCTCCTGAGAATCAGAACACGATCACAGCTCGCTGGGTCTTCCAGCCGTTTCGCCAGTGGGCACCCGTGGGCGCCTCGTGGGCGAGAACTGGCATAGACAACCTAAGAGCTCGGAGGTCCGCGCGCGGGCCCCGGCGCCGATCCGAGAAATCCGCGCGGGGCGTCGAATTTTCATGTTTATGCCATCCTTTGCTCCCCTGGGCAAGGATTTCTGAGACTTTTTGCGGCCGTTCAGCTGGGGGGGGGAGGGCTTCTTAGAAGCACCCCTGCTTCTTAGAAGGCGCGGGCCTTACCTACAGATGTAAGGCCGGCGCCTTCTAAGAAGCAGCCTCCTTCTAAGAAGCCCTCCCCCCCCCATCCCCTTGCGCGCGCCGCCAACGTTTGGCGCCCGTGGGGGCGGCACCGTGGGCGCCTCCTGCGAGGGAGGGGCGCTCTCGGGTTCGTTTTGTTCGCTCGGTGGGCGCACGCTAGGGCGCCTCGTGGGCGCCCACTGAGCGACGGCTGGCGCTTCCGTGAGGCGGGAGAGGGGGAATAGAGAGAGAGAGAGGAGGGGAGAGAGGTAAGAGAAAGGAAGAGAGGGAGAGAGGGAGAGAGGGAGTGAGAGAGAGAGAGAGACGACCGCCACGACCACTGCGGCCACCGCGAGCGACCACGACGACAACGACCGCTGCCACCTCGACCACCACGACCTCCAAGACCACCACGATCACCACTACGACCACCGCCCCCACGCCCACGACGGCTACCACGACCACCCCCTCGACCACCGCTTGCCGTCCGCCCCCCGTCCCTTGCCCCTTCCTCCCCCCCTTCCGGCCGGTCGCTCCTCCCGCTTCCCCCTCCCCTTGCTCTTCCGAGTGCTGTATTAATTAATAATTAATTCTCTGGTGTTCCTGTCCCGCGCGGGCCGCCCGTGTGGTTTGGCACCAGGGAGCCGCCGCCAGCTGCCCTGCCCGGGCCTGGTTGCTCCCTGAGTGCCGGGGACCGCCCTTCCCTCCCCCCCCGAGAGAGAGACGAAGAGAGAGAGAGAGAGGGAGAGGGGGAGGGGGAGAAAGAGAGAGAGAGAGAGAGAGAAGAGAGGAAAAGAGAAAGACAGTTAGAGAGACGACAGGGTGAGGACGCCGAGAGGGTTGAGGTTTGGGGCGGCGGCGATCGACGACGACGAGATGAGGAACGACGACCATAAGCGATCAGAAGCACGCACGGGCAGCACGCGCGCGCGGCCACGCAAACCGATCGCTCGCGAGTTCCCCGGGTTGATATGGGGCCCGGGTGGGTGGGGGCCCAGGGTGGGGTTTCCCAGACTAGCGTGTATCCACTAAGTGGACCGATCTTGGCAAGGATGCACGGCATCTTTCCCTACTTACCAGTAGATTGCACCACATAGCTAGCAAACCATGGGTTGCGCGACATAGATTGCACCACATGGATTTCACCACACAGACCACATGGTTTGCACATAGCTTGCACCACGCAGATTGCGCCACATAGCTTGCACCACATAGTATAGCCCCACTGCATTATATTGTTGTTCAGGGTGTAAAAAACTACTCTTCGCTGGTAAACATGGTTATAGAACTTTCGGCGGAATTATCCTCCAGAGATGACCGGGCGCGGACCCATGATTAATGTGCCAAATTCGTCCCGTGCGTGCCAGCTCAAAAAAAAAGAAACCCACATCGGATCTTCTACAAATAAAGGGATCCGGAGACCTCCGTCATCCTCGATAAAGATCAGCCGACCCCCGCATGCT